TTTATATATTTAGATTAATTATTTCCTATTGTAAAAAAATCTGACAAATGATTAGTTCGATTTAAAGTTAAATTTTTTAAAACTTAATCGAAATTTCTTCGTTCTTTGCTGCAAATAAAACGCCTTTTAAATTATTCTCAGTGAATTCCATAAATCTTTCTATACATTGGGTACGAATACTCCCAACTTATAATTTATTTAGAGCGCATTCGTTATCATTAACTATATGAAAGTGTTGAAAGTTACTTATTATAGATGTAACGATTGTTTAAATTAACAGAAAAAAAATGAGTTTTATAATTTTTATATAAAATCGGACTTACATAAATATGTCAGAGTGTAGTTGTAAAAGTGTTGTTTATATAAAAAGTACTTAATGTTATTATATCAGATAAATGAGCGGTTTCTTGCGAAAAATCAATTCTATAAAATACGTAATTTTAATTATTTTAAAAATTCTCTTTTGTCATTCCATCTATTCTTAATCTCACTTATTCGATTCTTCAGTTGAACATTACAATTAATTCTCTAAGAGAAGAATAAAATTTCGTTTTCTGCCATAATAACTAGAATGATGTGTTACTTGATAAAAGCGCAATAAATTTGCATGGAACAAAATTAACGCCTTCGAGCATGCGATGTTTTGTGTTCTATCTTTGTGTATTGATGCAATATTGTATTCTACAATCTAGTCGTAAAAAATTAAATACTAATATAAAAGTTATTTATGTCATTACCTGTCTCCAATTTTTTCCACCTTAAAATGTATAGATTATATATATATATATATATATATATAAACATAGTATGAAGGAAAGAGATTATCTAAATATAAAATTTCTAAAGAGATAATTCGAACAATGAAAATAAATTACGAAATAAACGAATTTAGTTTGCATTCTTCAATACCTCGTATAACATAAAATTACTAGTGAAGATGAATACATCAGATATTTAAAATTTGTGAAAAATATATATGTTTATATGAGTAATAATTACACAATTTACCTGTAAAAATACCATATTAATTAACAGTCTGATTAAATTTTGCAACGAGTACTTTCAACAAGTAATTTTTTCAAAACGAATCCAACACGTACATTACAAGAATAACTTTAACGTAAAATACGAATATTTAAGTTTTTTCTCTTATCGTGGAATTATTTGTGTTTCGAAAAAATAAACCCTTTGAGCAAACTTATATGAACACAAGGTTATTAGTATCTTTTCCCAAGTATAAGAATTATGACGTAGAATTGTATATTTACTTTATGAGATATGAAAGTGTGTCATTTTTTTAAGTGTTATTAAGTTTTAGGTTAAAATTTGTTTTTATATAACGCCAACTATACAATGTTAAATAAAGACTCGAATAAACTTGTTAATTACATTTTGAATAATATAAATAAATGCAAATAAAACACACATCGAATACACAGTACACCGCGTGTTTGAGAAAAAATTACTTTTCGTAAATCTTTTTTTATTTATATTAAGAATCTATGAATAAACTGGCTATCAATATACACTGTAAATTTGAAAAAATGTTTACACAAAAAGTTATGCTATAATCAGATAATTACAAAAAACAATAATATAAGTATATATTCTATATTTTAAAATTTAATGATGTTATTATAAAATGATAGTTTGCTTGCGAAGATTACATCGTGAACAGAAAATTTGATTAGTTGTTTATATTACAAAATGTCAGTTGATAACAAAAATGTAATAATACTTACTAGATAAATATAGGATAAACGGGATAACCCTCGAGCGTTATCGTCCCCTCTTTTTTATACGAGTTATCTCCTGGGTTTTTCTCGTTACTTCACTCGAAGTTTCGTATTGAGTCTCCAATCAACGAGTTTCACGCGTTGTGTTAAAGTGACACTTTTGATCTGTCACTCCTAACAAGAAACTAATTCCGTGGAAACCAGTTTAATCACCGATTAAATCAGCAATGTTTTTGAAAATTATCTGGATTTGAATTTTTCTAAAATTTTCTTTCACTAATAAATTTTCTCTAATTTCGGCTCTAACAGTTGTGTTTAATTTATTTTCAAATTAATTTTTCAGGTTATAAATTACTTCCGATTAAAAAATTTCATAGGTAAATTAAAATTATAAATAATTTTATAATAATAATAATAATAATAAAAAAGCACCNCAAGGTTGACATAGCTTCAAATATGTCATAGTAGCCTCAACTGTTACATTTTTATACTTGCGATTACATTCCTTAAGCATCTGTGTCCACCCAATGTGGCCAACAGCAACACGCGTTTCTTCGAGAATGTTGAATAAGTCCTCGTAACAAATGTAATACCTTATTTCTCCATCCTCCTCCTTCATAGGCGCAATTACTTTTTCTTCGCCACCTATAGTCAGAATGTCATAACGCTTTATATGCCTGTAACGAACAGCTTGTTTCTTTTTCATGTTCTTTGCAGCATTTACTTCCTCCAAACATTTGCGTATTTGTCCCTATTGAGATAAAAGTTATTATCTTTCTTGCTTGCAATGAGCTTGTCCATTATTTCATAAAATCTCCATTTCACACTCATCTTGATTCATAAATAACTTTTAGACAGAGAAATCTGAAACAAGATTAGAATTAATGTGCGCATTCTAACGTGTCAAACAATGGAATGCGGCAAGCGAAGGCGGTGCGGTACAGGATCGGGGATTATTTTTTCAACATTTACCATGTCTCTGAGAAAAAACCAAGATATACCAAGTAAATGCTGGTAAAAGTTCGAAATTAACAATGATCGCAAAACATTTCAGACTTTTACCACAATGATTTGGTAAATCTTAGGTTTTACTGGAAAATCTTAAGATTTACCATAGTTCGAGCATTTACAGTAACATATATAACCCATTGAATGCGTGTCCGTCCGTCAGTCCGTCTGCATAACGATATGCCAAAAACAGGCACTAGAGGCATCCTAGCAATAATTTTAAATTAACAATAAATTATTATTATTATTTGTAATAGGAATTTATTATTGATATTAATTTATTATTTTATATTACAATAGGAATAGAGGAATTAGATAAAATTATAAATAAAACTCGCAAAGACATCACCCAGAAGTGACCTTATTCCAACCAATTTCTTAAAAACACTACCAACTCAAGAAAGAGTGAAGTTGTTACACCTCTTCAATTCTATGTATAAAATAATCACTTATCCAGACTACTGGAAATCAGTAATACTCACAATGATGTGAGAAGCCGGGGGTACCTGCTTAAGGGTGCCACTTACTCGGCCTATTCCGTGAGAATAGTTCTCGAAGTTTCGAATCGTGAGATCCGATCTTAAACCTTTTTATAGGAGGGCTGTTAAATATTGGATAGGATATAGACGGCGAAGTCTTTATCCAACGTCAGGATTCCTAGACACCAGTTAATCGATTTTAAATACGCGGATTAACACGCGTGACTGGTATGATTCAGAGATCGAGGAGACATTATATTAACTAATAATAAAAGGAATTTAATAAACATATATATAAGTGAAACTATACAAAGACTGAGTTATAAATGAATGAGACACAATGAATTTAACTTTTAAAATATATGCCGAGAGAGAGAGCTCACAATTTCATATTAAAACATACAACCTGTTAGTTGTCCTTCATTTTTTCTGTATGTTCTGTTCATGTTAGTTCTGTTCATGGAGAGTTCAACTTAACTGAGAATATTTATGTCTATGGAAGTAAGCCTTTTGTGTACTGTATTGCTTATAGCATAGGGCGTTGGCCATTAGGAGCTTGTATGGATTTCGTCTGAATACTCTGGGATCTGTTGACGAACTCCCTGAATTCGGCTGAACTTCGCCTATATCTTTCCATTTTTGAATTTTTGAAAATACGACCAATCATCATATAAGTATTTTTCCACGTGGACGGATGGAAAGGGGAATAAATAAGGGGGTAAATATTTCTCATCGTGGCGAGATTTTTTAAGAAAAACAGATAAGATAAGAGAAAAACAGATAAGAGAAAAACAGAGGATGCTCAGGCTTCTGTCAAAGGAAGTGACTCTCTTATCTGTTTTCCCACGCTAGAAAAACGTTATTTTCCTACCAAAAATGAAAGAATATTTTTCATCATTAATTTAAATTTGTGATTTAAATTGTTATTTAGACCCAGGGGCTATTCGGATCTAACAATATTTAGAAAACTTTTCAATTTAATTCATTTCTTTGAAAGTTACTTATTATAGATGTAACGATTGTTTAAATTAACAGAAAAAAAATGAGTTTTATAATTTTTATATAAAATCGGACTTACATAAATAGGTCAAAGTGTAGTTGTAAAAGTGTTGTTTATATAAAAATTATTCAATGTTTTAAATCAGATAAATGAGCGGTTTCTTGCGAAAAATCAATTCTATAAAATACGTAATTTTAATTATTTTAAAAATTCTCTTTTGTCATTCCATCTATTCTTAATCTCACTTATTCGATTCTTCAGTTGAACATTACAATTAATTCTCTAAGAGAAGAANTCTACAGCCCTGGTTTTCATAAACATCTTGTAACAATAAGGCAAAGTTTAATAGGTTTGAAAAGTCATAAGATGGCAACCGCTTTAATGAAAACAATAATTTTTTTATTCTCAGCAACTACAACATTTGTTAATATACAATACAAAATTTAATTTTTGAAAAACGTTTTTAAACAGAAGAAAACGTAATATTTTAAAATTTTATGTGAATGCACCAACTTGCCCAACACATGGGGAAAGTTGGTACACATTATTTTTATACACAAGAAGGACAGGTTAAAATGGTTAACCTGTCGTTTTTTTCAATATTGAAATAAGAACCGTGTGGCCATTTATCACAACGGCTACATTTAGCTCAAAATAGAAGCATTCTGTGTCATTTGTCTTTCGTTTCTTGTTAGGCCTATCCTTGCTGAAGGGGTCTGTTTGTCGTCTCTGCAGCAATAAAGTCTGCCTCCGAAAATACTTATGGATTCATAGGCGATGTTTATGGTCATCCTGAAGCTAGACGGGAACCCCATCTTGCCCCCAATGTACACTTTTCATACTGACCGCGAACACAGGTAAACTTCATTTCAAAACTAAACAATTACAGTCTTAAAGGTTACTTCGAATACCATAATAACTTCATCTAAAAGGTAATGTGTAATTTCACAATAATATTTTGTAGAAACTTTTTAGTAAGCGTAAAATTAGATGAAGTATTGCTGAAACTTGAAAAACGTACATTACTTCCAAACAAAGAGAGCGATTTGGACGTTCTCTGGCTCCATGATCCCTTTCGAGGTAGATGTTTAGTTCACCAAATAACAGCTAGATAAAAGCATATTTGGTACAGTACGATTAAAAACAATGACTTTACTCGTATCAAAAATTATCTAAAGTGGAATTATGTTGCTCGTTCCCAAATAATTGACCAGCAATTTATTGACGACTTTCAGAATGAATTTTCTTGCTGTTACATTTTAAAATATCAGAAATTAGACAGAGAATATATTGTTAGCAATCACCAAAATTTATTACTCCATTTAATGTAAAAATGTTCTAGATCAGTTAAAAACGCAGTCAAAACGGAAAAATCTGCATTTATAATAGTACAACAGAAGCCAAGTTCTAGATAAGACTTGATCCTCGCCCTCGCCCCCGTAGTAGGGGAATTTCGGGAAATCAATTCTTAGTGTGTGTTCTCGTGGCGTACCCTAACTGTGTACCAAATTTCAACTATCAACTTCTAACCGTTTGGGCTCTGCGCTTATTATTATTATTATCAAAAAATCTCAATTATGTTTTTCATTACTCTCAGAAATTAAATTCATATTTATAATTAACACAACTTTCTATTTTCTTGCATGTTTAGGTTGCGTAAGGTCAATAATTGCCTTCTCTGTTATATCCAACATCTACGGACAGCCACGGTAAACGCCGGAACTAAAAAGCTTCCATATTCCGAACGATGCTTCTGTCGTAGTTTCTATCAAAATTTTCATACATAGAAGGAATAAATACATGGATCCTAAGTGAGTTAATCTTCTATAACTTTTGTCGGCATGGTCGCTGGCTTAATTTTGCATAAGTATAATACTAATTATGTATTTTATCCAGACCTCTCGCCATGCCGGTAACCTGCTTATATAATTATTGCTACTTAAAGAAGTTATAACTTTTACGTAAAATAGACAAAACGCTGAGGCTGAAGTTGTATTTTATAACAGAAGGTAAAATTTAATAATTTCATTTTAGCAAAATAATATAATTCACAAAACACTTTAATACATAAAACTAAAATTAAAATAACAAATTAGAAAGAAAAATAGATTGTTGGAAAGCAGTTTATAACGCACAAAATAAATAAATAAATAAATGAACATATATATGAGTCCATCCGAAAAGTCTCTTTCTGGCTATGTTACTAGATTATTGTATTTTATAACGAAGAAATAAAAATGAATAGTTTATAATAAACATACAATTTAAAATTAAGCTACATAATTATTACTATTATTCCCTGAATTCGGCTGAACTTCGCCTATATCTTTCCATTTTTGAATTTTTGAAAATACGACCAATCATCATATAAGTATTTTTCCACGTGGACGGATGGAAAGGGGAATAAATAAGGGGGTAAATATTTCTCATCGTGGCGAGATTTTTTAAGAAAAACAGATAAGATAAGAGAAAAACAGATAAGAGAAAAACAGAGGATGCTCAGGCTTCTGTCAAAGGAAGTGACTNCTACACTTCGACCGGTTTATACAACTCAGACATTATAAGTAATTAATTAATCACATCTAACAACTCGGGTAATTTCATTTCTAAATGGTATGTTCTTAATTATAATAATTTTATTTCAAGTTGCAAACATGAACTAAAGTAATAAATAGTAAAGGTAGAAATTAGCGATACAAAAGTAATAATTTCTTACATAACAATTTTACATCTACACTTCGACAGACTTATACAACTCAAACATTATAAACATATTTTTAATAACTGTATTTTTTGTATCAGTTATTATTTATTTGGTACAACGTACAAATACGCTATGTACGGTGAACAGAATAAAGACGGAAACACCGAAGAAAGTTTGTGCATGACAAAACATAAATCTAATATTAAATGAAAACCCATCTCGGGTGTAAAAAAATGATATCACAGATTTTTTATATAAACAAGACTCTTACAACTACACTTCGACCTGTTTATACAACTCAGATAATATAAATATATCTATAATAAGTGCATTTTTGTATCGGTTATTCAAATAATCTATAAACTATAACAATAGTTTAAAACGTAAAAAGAGTTTTTAACATTTTATGCATATCATGTACATTATTCATGAATATGCATGATATTAAGAAATGCATATGATATGTATGCATAATCACACATATCATATGCATAACGTAAATATATATTATTCATAATATGCACTTCATTATATGCAGGAAACATTTATGCAGAAAAAAAGTTTTTGAACACTTCGAATCGTCTTTTCACAGTTACTGAAAGACAAATTTTAGAATAAAAATTTCCTAAATATTCGATTCTCCGAACTTTTAACAATCGTTATAAATAAACGCACGGGAGAGGCTATTAAGCAAAGTCATTCTCGTTACGGTCGATTGTAACGGAAATTGTGAAAAAATGTTTAAAAATTGTGTAACGTTTTCTTTTGTATATATTTACATTATTCAAAATTTATATTTCTTGTTGGATTTTTTAAATTATAACAAACGGCTTTGAATATTTGGTTATAGTCAACGATGAATTCGTTTCAAATTATTTATTGTTGATAACTTTACCCAATGTGCATAACATTTACGAAATTTACTCGAATAATGTAAACGGTACTTGATTTGCATAGAAAGACGAATAACTGTTGAATAATTTTTTAAAAATGTCATTTCACGTGTAAAAAATTTATTGCTATCTTTTAAATTTTGCGTTATTATGCCTATAATGAGGGAATTTGGTGTCTATTTCGTTTAATATTTCAAAATAATATAAAGACTAATGAACAAAATTTGTGAAATTAGCTGTTATAAAGACATGAATGATGATAAAGTGTGGTAGTTAATTAAAAGCAGGGGCGGATCTAAGTTAGGGTTTATTAAAGTCCAATGGAGTCACAGTTTTTTTAGATTAAAAATCTTTACATTGATTGAGATAAAACAAACAATACGAAAAATTATCATTATTATTCTATTATTAATATTAACTATATTTACTATACGAAAACTGCTCGTTGTTAATAAAAAAGTATTAAAAATTTTTGGTAATAATTCAATTTTTGTAGGCCCTGGTAACTTGGGGGCCGAGGATTTAAGCTCTATTGGTCCTTATGTACATGTCTATGTAGAAGATCAGGCAGTGAGGAGACAGAAGGAAGTTTTTTTTTACTTTATCTTAATTTTAAAAATTAAGCTTTTTGCCATTTTATAATAAATAATAACGTAACTGTTATTTCTTTAATATCTTATATTAAACGGTGCTGCAGATAATTTTAACTTTATCTTAATATATCTTAGCACTATCTGCGAGGAAAGTTGAGGAATTGGTTGCTAGATTTTTTTATTATAAAAATATATTTTTATATATTTATTAATCTTCATATAATTCTTTCTTTGTATATATTTGTAACATTTTAAGTTTAAATTATATCTGTAACAAATCTCTATGTTGTTGAATAATAATTAAACTGCTAATTACATCTCGATGAAACATCAAGGTTTTCTGAACAAAAATAACACGCTAAATAATTAAATATTAAACTGAATACTGTATTATATATCATCTGATAGATGTATAGACTTGATGAGTAAGACTACGTTTGCCTCTTACAGATAATTGTAGTCGAGAGAAATTATTTGAAAATGGACAGGAAAGAGACAAGTAACCCATTCGATACAGCTGGTGTTTTCAATCGAATATTTTTCTGGTATGTATTATTATTTTATCTGATTATTAATTAATTTGTCTAATATAAATAAGTATTAATTATGTTATATTTTGAAGTGTAACCTTTTAAACTTTAATCGAAACAACTTTTTATATAAACAAGACTTTTACAACTACACTTCGACCGGTTTTTAAAGCTCAGACGTTATAAATACAGGTATACCTCGACTTACGTCGTTTCGAGTTACGTCGTTCCCGATTATACGTCGTTTGTCAAAAAAGTANGAAGGTCAGGCAGTGAGCATACAGAATGGAGTCTTTATTGATTCATCTCTATTTTAAAATTTAAGCTTTTTGCCATTTTATAATAAATAATAACGTTACTGTTATTTATTTAATATCTTATTTTAAACGGTGCTGCAGATAATTTTAACTTTATCTTAATATATCTTAGCACTATTTGCGAGGAAAGTTGAAAAATTCGTTGCTGGATTTTTTTTATTATAAAAATATATTTTTATATATTTATTAATCTTCATATAATTCTTTCTTTGTATATACTTGTAGCATTTTAAGTTTAAATTATATCTGTGACAAATCTCTATGTAGTGGAATAGTAATTAAATTGCTAATTACATCCCGATGAAACATCAAGGTTTTCTGAACAAAAATAACACGCTAAACCTTTAAATATTAAACTGAATACTGTATTATATAACATCTGATAGATGTATAGACTTGGTGAGTAAGACTACGTATGCATCGTACAGATAATTGTAAACGAGAGATATTATTTGAGAATGGACAAAAAAGAGACAAGTAACCCATTCGATACAGCTGGTGTTTTCTCTCGAATATTTTTCTGGTATGTATTATTATTTTATCTGATTAATAATTAAATTGTCTAATATAAATAAGTATTAATTATGTTATATTTTGAAGTGTAACCTTTTAAACTTTTATCGAAACAACTTTTTATATAAACAAGACTTTTACAACTACACGTCGACCGGTTTTTAAAGCTCAGACGTTCTAAATATATTTTTAATAACTGAATTTTCTGTAGGAGTTTTTATTTATTATTTTTTTGGTACAGTGAACAAATACGCTATGTACGGTGAACAAAATAAAGATAAAAACACCGAACAAATTTGTGCATTACAAACGAATACAATAAATATAACAAAGTCCGTACATACGAAATATACGCAATATTCCGTTCATGATACGACTTTAGTACATAATAATTACAAATAAAATACGCGTATTCACATATATGAAAATTATTATTCTAAAACATAGACTACTAGTAAGCTAACTGTGACAAGATGTGACGACTTCATACCATTAAATTATAAATGGAATTTGAAATCTATCTATATATATAAATGGTCGTGTGTGTCCCTACATTTCATTTTTCCGCAAAATGAATGCTGTTTGTATGTGGTGGTAGCCCCAAGTCTCCTTTCGTGCACTATGGGGGTTGCGACTCGATAGCTATAAGGATGCGGGAGATATGTTGCTGAAAGTGGTTGAAAGTGGTTTTCTATTTCGAATGTTATGTTCGAATTTGTTCGAATTTATTTCGANTGCTGTTTGTATGTGGTGGTAGCCCCAAGTCTCCTTTCGTGCACTATGGGGGTTGCGACTCGATAGCTATAAGGATGCGGGAGATATGTTGCTGAAAGTGGTTGAAAGTGGTTTTCTATTTCGAATGTTATGTTCGAATTTGTTCGAATTTAATTCGAACATAAAAATCGAATATTGGTTCGATTATAAAACGATTGTAAACGTTCCAGAAACGTTGAAAATAGTTCGTTTGACTGGAAGTGAACAGGAGACGTTCAGAAATAAAATCGGAACCAGGTCTCTAATTAGTCTGGAAACGGGGGGCCTAATTCTTGCATTCGTTCTGAAATTTTTTTTTACCGTAGGAAATTATTAGTTTTTATAAACTTATCCATTTGCAAGTAATTCTTCTTTTGCATATATTTGTAGAATTTTAAGTACATGAAAAAGCATTTTAAGTTAGAATTATATTAGTGACGAAACTTTACGTTAGTTTTATAATAACTGTTTTTTTGCATTTTGACAAAACTTCAAGGTTTTCGAACAAAGACGATACGCTAAATTTTTTTATCTTAAAGTATATATTATATACTATCTGATTGATGTATAGATTTAATGAGAAATACTAGAAACTCAGTGTACATATCTGTAGATGAGATAAATTAATAGAGAGTGGAGAGGCAAGAAAAAAGTAAACGTATCACATAAGCATACAATTATACGTCACTATACTTGTACTTGAAAAAATACTTACAAACTTGTATTTGTACATAATTGACCGAAAGATTTATTAAATATACAAATAATCACTAAATAGATACGGGAAAAAGTATTCATTATATCTAATGCAAGAATAAACTCTTTCTGTATTGTATTAATTAATCCATAGTTTAAAATATTTTTAAAATTTGAATAATTTCAAATGCATTTATAATGGAGATAAATTAAAACTTTAATTTTAATTAAAAATTTTAAGATATTTTAAGCTGTGGAGAGGTTAAAAATATTCCTTTTAAATTTGAAGAATTTTTCAATTCCTTGTTATTTTCAACCGATGAACTTAAGACGATAGGTCGGAAAGTTATGTGAAAGTGTCACCTTTGCTGCTGACTTGTGAAAACTCACGGAATAATTAGCTCCCAGGTGTAAAAGTTGACAGTTATTTATGATTTAATTAATAATATTTTTAGGTCATTAACTTTATTTAAAAGTTGTTACAATTTTTAAAACAATATAAAAAAAAGTTAGCCGAAGGTAGAATCGAACGTAGATCGTCCGCGTGGCAAGCGAGTTCGATACAGGCTCAGCCATTTCGCTGTGCTACGATACTGTAAAATCCATCGGTATATGAGCTGCGCTTAAAATTTTAGAGCCTTTTTTCTCAGAATCTTGTTGCTAGTGCGCTTTACAATACTTCTGGGAGGACACCCTTGAGGTATACTATTAACCTGCAAAGTCTCATCTTAAACTGAATTTCCGAGACCGTAAGGTCCCCTTGTCAGTTAGACATAACTGTTTAGTTGTGACAATATTGCTTATGCGTTGTAAATAGTCATAAATCTGGAACATATTTTAAATTTAAACTATAAAAATGATTAAATTTAATATTTCAAACTTTGATTTACTATCAAATTTGATGCACGTATGTTACTTAATAATAAAATAACGAATTATAATGTAAGAAGTATGTTGGTGTCAGATGTCAGATGTGTGCTTGAAGTATTCATTTTTGAATTTTTTTCGTTTGTTTTATTCAGGAATATTAAAATATTATGACGTATCAAATATCATACTTATATAAGTGAATATGGAAAAAAATACAGTAAAAGTAGAAAAATGCAATTTGTGCGAAAATATTTTAATGTCTTACATATAAAGTAACAACTGCGTTAATTTAATAAAGCTTTTTGTTCAAGAATGTGTGTCAGTACATTTGCAATTTTAGTAGTAGTAATCATACATTATACTCTAATTAATGCTGCTTTACTAAAATAATTTAGCTAATTCGTTCTGTATAAACTGTCACAGTGATAACGATAAATGATTTACATGGATGAAAATCGTTCAATGCGTTGTAAGTTAACTACAACGATAGTCATGTGAAAATTACCAGTACAAAAAATTTTGTTAAACAAGATTAATTAAAATAAGTGGTTTATTTTACAGGTGGGTTTTTCCTATAATAAACAAAGGAAGAAAGCAAATTCTGAAAGAAGAAGATTTACACAAAGCCTCTCAATATCACACCTCACAGTATCTTGGGGATCTACTTCAAAAGTAAGTTTACTATTTAGTTTTGAATATTCATATTTCAGTTATTATTTCCTAATATTTTAAGCTTCATTTATGATTTCCTCAAGTTTAACAAAACAATTAGACAAAAACTAATATTGTTTCATTTATTTTATTCTTTTGTATATATTAATTACTTATTGTTACTTCTGTAATGAAACACTTAACTGAATATTTGACGTTATAGAAAGTTATAACAAAATTCATAGTATATAGTTGATTGATAGTAAACTGTTAATTAAATAAATTAATTTAAATGTCAATAGTGTTGTGTTATATATAAGTGTAATTATTAAATTATTTATGTAAGTGTTGATATGAAAATATTGTTTTAATGAATTAGTTATAATATTCTAATTAAACTGAATATTTTTTAAATTATTATATATAGTTTAACGGAAAAGTAATAACTGATNTAATTAAATTGAATATTTTTTAAATTATTATATATAGTTTAACGGAAAAGTAATAACTGATGATAATAGTTTGTAAAATAATAAGTACTTTTGTCATATATGAAGAAGTTGTGACTACTGAGATTATGGTTTTCACTGGTGACAAAGCCATTAGTTTCATATAGTAGGTTAAGACAAAAATTGTAAGTTATAATTTTCCGAGTGTAAATAATATCAGTTAAACAATGCGAATTGTTTGTTAAAATGTTCTAGAAAATCTGAAATATTTTGTATTTTTTTTATCTTTTTAACTTGTAGTACTGTACTCAGTTCACATCGTTTCGCTAAAAGGGCGCACCATAAAAAATAGCTGGTTCGATGGCCAGAAGTTAAATTCTTGTTAAACTCTTGTCGTTGAGGCCCCAGTTTTTTCCAGCAAGAAAGCAGAGAAGGTTTAAAAGTTTTATGGCCTTCTTCTTTACATGCGTTTTTTAGCTTTCTGTGAATATACATTTCAAGTTCTGATAGATAGTAATGCCCAGGTATTTCATACTGTTGGTAAATCTTATCTTAGTACTTATCTCATTCATCGAGTATGGTTTCTTGAGTTGGATCCCTTTTGACATTAACATGCAGGTGGTCTTACTAGGTTAATGCATAATTTCTTAAAGTTGCTTCACTCTGAAATTTGATTCAGAAAAGAATTGGCTTTTTTATTGGACATCATGACCAAAGTATCATCGGTGTATCCCTGGTAGCCAAGGTAACAGTGATCGCATCAGGGAAGGCCATTGTACATGATGTTGCAAAGGTTAGGCCTGGACTGGAAACCCTGAGAACACCCAGGGTGGCAGACCAGATGGCAAGTGTTCCCAACTCGTGTATGCCAGCAGTTCAGTTCAGTTCAGTCATTTTATTAAAACACATATGCGATCATAACCAGCACCGCTAGACATAGCTGGAGATAGGGTACATGTGTACAAGTTACAGGAGAGCAATATATGTATATAATTATACACTTACAAAGTAAAAATAAGAGATAACATAGTAGCAGAGTATAACATTAAATCGTACGACCTACAATAATGTACAGTAGATACATACATACATGCGAGTTCTTTCTGATTATACTGTATATTTCCATGCCGACAGTAAAATGGTTGCATCTTTATAGTTCAAACATTTATCGTTAAGCATCTGTACATCTCACACTTCTCTGTTGTGGAATATTTTATTGAGCCCTGTGGATACATCCACCAGGCTCAATAAAACCTGAGTTACTATAAAAAATGTTTACATATTGTATTATGGGGAATTACCGTATTTTGTATTTTATTTTATTTTGTTTTTCTTGTTTATTGTATTAATTTCTTTATGCTTGTTTACTGAATATTATTTCAACATATGTTCTAATATAATTTAAATTTGAACGTGTTCGAAAAGCCATTGATTCGAACGTCTTTAACCTGATGATGGCCCATGATATAGGTTGAAAACGTTTGTATAACTGAATAAATGTGCTTTCTCAGTAGTACGGTGTGTTGACTTTATAATGTTAAAGAATCTGAGCGTGAATAGGATAGAAATAAATAATAATAATATATATATATATATATAAATTGACGTGTATGTCCCTATATTTCACTTTTTCGCAAAAACTACACATCGCACGTGAATGGTGTTTGTATGTGGTAGTAGCACCAAGTCTCCATTCGTGCATAGGGGTGGTTGCGTCTCGATAGCTATAAGGGTGCGGGAGATATGAGGCTGAAAGTGGATGAAAGTGGCTTTCTATTTCGAATGTTTTGTTCGAATTTTTTCGAATTTGTTCGAATTTAATTCGAACATAAAATTCGAATATTGGTTCGATTGTAGAACGATCGTAAACGTTCCAGAAACGTTGAAAATAGTTCGTTTGACTGGACGTGAACAGGAGACGTTCAGAAATAGAATCGGAACCAGGAAATGTAAATATAAAGCGACATGCAAGATTTACAATCGGTTTTTTGCGCTTTTGCGGGAAATCTAACATATTTTTATGCTCATGTAAAAATTCTCTGGAAACGTCTGGAAACAGGAGACCTAATTCTTTCATTTTGTGAAAACGGGTAAGATTGGCTATAATTTAATTATCTTAATCTTCACTATCGTTACTTTTTGCCCACAAATAAAAACCCAGCGAAGCGGGTCCTTGCAGCTAGTTAATAATATAAAATTATTTATCAAATTGAATAGCAAGTATATTTATACCAAATTTTCACTTTTATCAATTAATAAATACGTAATTTATTTTTATTTTAGATACTGAGGATTTACAAATTATAAGAATGTTAATTATAATTTTCAAAATTCAAAAAATTAGTAGGTAAAAATTTACAGTGCAAACAGAAATATTCAAAATGCGAAAATATTAAAATTTAGTATCTAACAAAATCTTTAATAAGTTAAATGTAATCTTTCCACAGCAGACACTTCAAAGCGAACGCTGCATATGTCTATGATTCGTTTAAGCGTGCTATTTACTCTCTCTTACAATGAAATATTATATGACTGTACTCCGTTAATATTATATCTGTCTTTTGTCGTATAGTAACGTTCACAGAAACACGCCATATTTTTGTTCTGTCTCGACATAAAAAAAAACCACTTGTTTAATAATTTTCGGATTCGCAGAATACTAGCGTGACCAGTTATTACTGTACATTCCAGATTTTGTGCTGCTTCATTAAAAATTTCAAAATAAAATAGCATTTATACATTACTTTAAAAAAGTTGAATAACATTTAATGAAATATTGTTCTTAAATTAAATGCCTCATCCAAATTTCTTTTCAGAGAATGGAAAAAAGAATCACAGAAAAAAAATCCGAGCATACTGAAAGCTGCCTTACGTTTTGTTGGTTGGAAATACTTGATTGTAATACTACTTGTACTAATTCAGGTATTATGACACCCGATTATAAAGAGGTGAAGTTAGTATTAAAATAATTGAAATAACTGATATTTACGTATAATTACAGGAAACAGCTTTAGTTGCAGGTCAAGCTTATTTAGTAGGATCGGCAGTACATTATTTTGAAAACAGACAAGAATGGAATCACTACAACGTTTATGTTACAATTGCAGGATTCTTTGCTGTTACTGCGATTTATTTGTTTACGTATAATACTAATCTGTTTATGACAGAATATTATTCAATGAAACTGAAAATAGCATTCTGCACTCTTGTTTATAAAAAGGTAGGTAACAATTATAATCTATTTTGAGTAGAATATTATTTTTATATTATTTATATAATGCTGTATTGTGATTAAATAGATTTGAGAAATTTAAAAAAAAAAAAAATACTCTTTCAAAAAGTTTTTCTAACAATCGTAGCTTTTCAATTTTGTCTTTCAAATTAATTTGATTGAAGTTGTGAAGAAATAAATTATTACTCAAAATACTAAAAAATTTTGAATAACCATCGTTTTCTGCTAAAGATTCTATTAATTTTTTTCAGTAATACTTTCCTTTCTTTATTTTTGTGGACGATACCTTGCTAAAAGTAACTGACAATTCAAACGTGTGAAACTATTGCATTTCATCAAAATTAACAGTAAATAATATAAATCAGAATGTTACACTTTATGTGTTTTTATATTAAATTCATGAATATAATTATTGCAGTTGTTTCTGCTACCGTTATTGTTTAAAACACACACGATAGGGCAGAGAAACGAGAGGTTTTAAAGTCCATTTTTTATGTATTAATTGAATAGAAGAAAGTTCGTGAACGATGGTATGTTGTCAGGAACAAGTAGTAATATTGAATCAATAAATAGATGCAGAATGTGTGTTCACCATTAAATCATTTCCTGAACATAATGATTGCATAATGACCTCTGAATGGTTATTTCGCCGTCATTTTAAGATCCATTAAAATAATCATTTCATTATGACATGAATTGAAAACTTTCAGGAAAGTTGTTCTGTAGCATAAGAGCCTCGGAGTGCAGTAAGAATCGGACACCCTAAAAAATATCGTGAATGTGAGATCCGCTATTGAAGTTAGTCGACAGCACTTAGCAGTCCTCCTTGTAGTTTGACGGTTTAATGCAAGAATTAAGTATATTTCTTGTTAATGATTAGACATGGTTCCAAAAAAGATGCAGTTCATAAAACAAAAATATCGATAACTGCTCTAAGAAGTTGTTGCCCGTAAAGTTATCTCTAGTAATAGTGGCATTTCTTGGTTCAGAAGATTGTCGCCACGTTATTCCTTTGTGAAGATATTTGAAAAGAAAGTATAGATTAACTTCCCATTCAGTACTCCTGAGCTCTAAGTGAGAATTAGACAAAAAATTACCAGATTACTGCTGAAATTGTATTAGCGTTTATTGGATGATATGTACCCAAGAGTGGAGGAATGTCTGCGCAAAGATTAAGAAACTTCTTCAATCTTTGATGTCTCAGATGTCCTTTACAAAAAATAAAATGCATTCAATTACTTTTAATGTGATACACCTGTAATTTTTTAAATAATCCATCTCCTTGAGGTATTAAGTGTTTATAATCTTTCGTTTCTCTGTCTCATCTTATACAGTAGTTACAGGTTAAAAAAAACTGTTGCCTTATCACCCTAAATATTCCACATTTTAAAAATTTGTAATGTAATTTTTCGTAATTTTTCTTCATTGATTTAACGATCTTTTCAAATAAATTTTCTTTACGTAATTCACTGCTCTCACACTAGTATTCAGCTGTAAAATGACGTTTTTCTTCTTAAAGACGCATTAATAAGCACGATTCGTTCGACTGCGTTCATTTAATAATACTAGGTACTGTAATGATAAACAATTAAAAAAATTAACAAAACTTTAAAATAGTAACAGAACTTTAACGATAATTCGACTGTTTTCGGTATTCTCTTACTATTATTTAAAGGTTTTGTTTTTATTTTATTACTCTAGTAGTTTGAGAAGGACATAGTTATAAAGAATTAATATTTTATCCTTTATTGAGATTCGGTTTGAAGAAATTATAGTTTCATGAATTCGCACTGCTGTCTGTCTGCTATTACTTAATCTCAAAGATATTCGTTAGAGAAGAGATAACAGAGAAAACATTATGAAAACGTGGTTCCGAGTAAACTAAAACTATGTAATCTTTCTTTTCAACTCTGAAGTTACATTGTCTTAACTCAAAGCTTTCACCTGTAAGGAGTTAGACGATGACCACATGACTGTTGATAAATAGAAAAGTATTATAAACAAGGACCACACGTAAATAATTTAAGATGAAAATATTATATATTAAATGAAATAAATCAGAAATTTGATTAAAAATTGTAGCCCATCATTGTGATAATGTCACAATAAATAATTGCACGTTTGGTAATATAACATAATATAATCTATAATATATAATAATTTACTAATTTATTAGTTACTTTTTTAAATACTAAGTAATTACACCTCATAAAATGTTAAAGAAGTAGGGCGCTGTCCGATTATCGTGGCTGTTAGCTTGAATACTTTGCTTTCTTGTAATTTGACCCATTACTGTTACTTTTCTGAAAAATAATTGAAAAATCATCTGAGAGAACGAAAAGTTTCGGCCACTATTCCTGGAAGAATCACAATAAAACGTAAAAAGAAACGAATTGTAAGCGAGGAAAATGTTAGAAGTGAGTCAACGGAGGAAGTGATCTTTCCTTAGATAAGTGCCGAAAATGGAATTAGCGTTCAAAAAAGAATTAAAGTTTTGTTCAAATTACAACCCTTTTTAAATAATAAATTACAGGTACTTTTAAAAAGATCAGATAGAACAAAACTATCGAAAATATTTTGTATTGTATTGCCTGTATTGAAAATATAGACACTGCTACAGTAAATCTTGAATTCATACTCCCTGTCCGAGAAATTGATAAAGCAACAGGTAGTGTTAGAAAAAACAAATCAAACGCAGAAATAAATGCATTATGTAAAAATTTAGCCTACTTCGAAAGTTTTTGAAACTGGAGGATAAAGAAAAAGAAATAACTTTGTAATTTCGAGTTTGCAGAATGACGATAAAGTGGATAATTGTCTGTGCATGGTTCGAAAATTATTTAGTGATAACTTTAAGTTTATTGATGTGAATATCAAGCGAACTTATCGAATTGAAAATTTCAAACCTAATTGAAAAAGACTGGTTATTTATAAAATATTTAATTTTGAAAATAAATAAAAATATATAAAAATATTATTAAATTGAAAGGTTAAAACATATTTGTTAATGATAATTAATTTTCAAATACTAGAATTATCAGAATCAAGCTAAGATTTTATGGCAAAATATGCGCTTAAAAGAAGCTACTAATGTAAAACTGCGATATAATAAATAAATTATGAACGATAAGACGATTGCCTGTAATTTTAAAGGTGAGATTTTTCAAACAGAAAACAAACTACTTTTTTAGGAATATCGTTTGTAACGATAAATAATTAATTGAAAAGAATTATAAGTAATATAATGTTTTATACTCGGATAATAGAGATAATGCAAAATTTTTTTATAACAGCAAGTTTTAATAATAAATATTGCTTTCCTAATTTTCGGAATATAATATATACTGTTTAGTAGAAACATAGCATACTTCACCGGTAATTATTAATGGTCTCTGATAAATATAAAATTTACCTTCAAGTAGCTCATAGCTGTGAAGGACCTGCAAGACCTAGTGGTGGCTTGAATGTCGGTTTTATCTAGACATGGTTTTTTAAGTTGAAATTATATTTCAATTAGGATTCGTTTTGATTTTACAATTGGACATTGAGAAGTCAATCAATATTTAACTAACAGTGTTTTATATTTCGCCTGACAACTATTTCGATGATGATTTTAAGAACATGTTATTGCTTATAGAAAACTATCGGCTACGAGAAACGAACTTGGTTTCATGCCTAATTTTAACGCTGGAATAGGACTTTTACTGGTGACTGGAAAACTTTTTCGAGAGCCTCGAAAGATATAATTGTGAATGACAGAAAGAAAATTTTATATAAATTTTGTGAAGATAAGTCTCGTTTGTTTAAATAGCTTATTGCGAGGAGACAAAAAAATAATTATTTTTTCTATCACTCAACAAAAGGAGGCAGTGTAATTGATTTTGTGATAGTATCACAAAATACAGTATATATTTTAGTGTTGTAATTAATTTAAATGTTTTAACAGAGATTAGCTCAGATTGTTTACCAGTTTTACTAACATTTATCTAATTGGTATCATTTCGCATTTTTAACAGACAACTTTTAAGTAAACGTGCAATGTACAGTACACATATGAAATTAAATCTTAATTATCTCTTAGATCAGGTAATGTCCTATCAAATGAGTATGAAAGAACTCTTACACCTGATGATCTAGTAGAAGGTAGGGCTTAAGCAGCGATGTTTTCTTTAGACTTAATTTATGACGTTAATCCTGTACCAGGTAAAACTCATGCAACAAATAAATGTATAATAATGCGTGTCACATCTTGGGGAAAGATTTGTGGAAGTTGTTTAAAAAGGTTACAACGTCATATAAAAATGAATATTGTTTTATATAATACTATTTAAAAGACTGCAGAAGACTGTTTATGTCAAAAGAAAATATAATTTTATTTGAAACTTAAATAGAAGACTGGTGACATGTAACAACTTTAAAACGTTTTGGCAAACAATCAACTAGTTTAGAGGTAAAAGATTATAGTTGAAAAATTACTTTGGAAAGAGGGCTAAATTTTTATACTGTTAAATTATCTAAAGTTCATTTTGTTTTGAACAATGGTCAATTGTCAACAGATATATATAAAGTGCTTTTAATAAGACAAGAATGTTTCTCGGACTTTACATTGGAAAAGAAAATAAGAGCAATTAATCAATTAAGCAACATTCCATTGTTTTTTTCAACCAATAAGTTTCTGTTTAAGCAATGCGTTTAAATAAATAGGAGGACGGAAGTAGCAATAGAAATTAGAAATTTTGTAAAATATTTAATACTATACAGCGAACTATGACACACCCTGCTTTAACCGTCACATGCAGATGAAAGGGCCATCTTGTGACCCTCTCTCAAATTTTTATTTATATTATAGACAAATATGAATTTGGAAATTCGAATTTTCTTTTACTTTTATTTCCTACCGTTTGTGAATACTTTGGAGTATATTTGACAAAAATTCAGTAATTATTGTGGTTCCTACAAAAAAATATCTTATGCTGCTCGATGAATTGTTGCTCCTGTGTGAGTATTATATTATTTTGATTTGAGGAATTGCAGTTATTTGGCTTTAAATGCAATCAAGTGAGAGCAGTTTCAAGAGGAACAGTTCAAACGGAATCAGAAGGAAGAGCGACAAGGAATGCTATTAAATGTATTCCTAAAAAAAGGAGATTCTTTTTATGTTGAAGAATAAATAACAGAAAATACATAAAATATTGTAAAAAGTTCTTGAAATACATTTGCCTTAGACATACAACGAATGAGGAACAAATTTCTCAGCACAAGTACTGAGTGAAATTAATTTAATTTTATAACAATTATTTTTAACAATAAAAATTGTTTTGAGTGCTAAAAGTTGAGTTATTTTAAAAATCCAAATTTATAGAAACAAACATATCAATAAAAAATATATCAACTTCTAAATTTAATTCATTATTTAAATACATTCTTGCCTAATAAAATTCATTTTGTCAAATTGCGTGAATGAACAGGTATTAGAAAATTCACATTTATTAGTTTTTTTTTTAATTTACTAATAATTATACTCGTATTTTTTAAATGATAATTAATATCTTATATACTTTTTGGAAAATATTTATTTTATATGAAACCTTTATATGCAGGCAATTAGGTTAAGTTCTTCTTCTCTGGAAAAATCAAATGTGGGACAAATGGTAAATCTTCTAGCTAATGACGTCGGCAAATTCCAGAACGTAAGTTTAAATAATTTTCTAAACAATAATACATTTACTGCACACTCGTAAACCTGTATATTTCGTGTACGTATTATAATTCACCTATAGGAGGGCAAGGGGGTTTAGTCTTTGTCTTCTTCTGCTATAGAGGGTTCGGTTTCCTTGTCGTCCTTGCTTTTGAATTCTTTTTCGGATTTTCTTTTTCGGAAGTCGGATTTTAGCCTTGATTGTTGAGATATTTCTGTTAAAATAAATTTGTTCCAAGGATCTACTGTAACTGTTGTATCAAGTGATAATAACTTTGGTTTCTTTGAAGTAGGAGTAGAAGGTATATCTAAAGTGTGAACAATTCCATTACATGCAGGATGATAAGCGGTCGTAAGTAACCTATTTATCTGTAACAAATCATATACTTCCTTAAACATCTTTGAAACTAGATTAGGTCCTGTATTCGTTAATAATTGTGTTGGAGTAGAATGATGCAAAATTATATTTGTGACGAACGATTTAGCTATTGTATCACTAATAACATCTAATAAAGATACTGCTTTTGCATAACGACTAAAGTGATCAGCAAATACTAAAATATATTTTTTTTCCGTTTGTATTAAGTGGTAATGGTTCTACAATATCCATCGCTGTTTTTTCGAACAAACGAGTAAGTGGGGAAAATAATCTCTTGTGACCTTTAACCTCTGTGTCTATATTTAGCACAACTTTGACAACTTTGACAGTATTGTTTAATTTACTTTTTCATTTCCGGCCAGGAAAATGGTTTTTCTTTTTGAACGCATTTTCTGCTCAGCTAAGTATCCAGCTATCAGATTATCATGATAAGAATGTAGAAAATTTTTTTCTATAAGCTCTTTGGTATGATTATTTGTTACAAATTTTCTGTTTGTCATTTATTTGTTGCTTCCTGGATTAATTTGCTTTCTTCATTGATGTAAACTTCATCTAAAATTAAATTATTTACTTTCCCTGTAGTCTGTCCACCTTTTAAAGCTTGAATTATAGGGTTCCATCGTTCATCACGTTGTTGTAGGTCCTGTATTTGTGCCTTGGAAAAGATTGGCTCTACTTCTTTAACCTGTCTAATGAAAATGCAACTTAAAGCGTCGTCATTTTGATGTGAAGTTCTGGCTTTGTGTATAACTTCAAAGTCAAATTCCTGTAGGAAATTGATCCACCTTGATAATCTTGATATTGTGGATGAATCTTTATTACTAATTAACGATCGAAGTAGATGATGATCCGTGATTATAGTGAACTTTCATACAAATAAGGTTTAAAGTGTCTTACACCCCATACAGTGGCTAAACATTTCTTCTCCGTTTCAATATACTTCAATTCTGTCTTTCTCAACAATATGCTAGTGTAAGCTATTGGTTTCTTCTTTCCATTCTCTTTCTGTGATAGTACCGTGCCTAATGCTTCATTAGAAGGTTTCGAGAAGTATGGTCATTTAAGTACAGGTCCAGATGTGATGATTTCCTTTAATTTTTTGAAGCTTTGCTATTGTTCTGGAATGCATTGTTCGAAAGTGGAGTCTTCCTTTAACAGACTGGTTAAGGGCTCAGCTCTCTATGCATATGAATATACATGTTTCCTGTAATAACCTGTTAATCCTAAAAATACTCTAACATATCTTTCGTTTTCTGGTCTAAGGAAATATATTATGCATTTAATTTTTTCTGTATCGGGTTTTATACCTTTGCCTGATACGTTGTGTTCTAAAGATTTTCTTTTTTGTAGAAAGTGACATTTCTTTAATTTTAATTTGAGTTCTGCATTAGCTTATCGTTTAAATTAAAGATATAACCTTTTTAATTGACTAAAAAAGTCTTATCTGAAAGTTAACATGTCGTCCATGTAAACTAATCATGTTTTTCCTTTTAATTTGTGTAAAAAAAGACCATCGAGCGTTCAAAAATAGCAGGGCTAGATCTGAGACCCATTGGAAGCTTATTTCACTGATAGTGTCCATCAAATGTGGAAAATTTTGTTTTCTCTTTATCGCTTATACCTATAATTACCAGAACCCTGAAAGTGTATCCATGGTAAATAAATATTTCGCTTCGCCCATCAAGCTAAGTGATTCCTGCACTAAAGGAATTGGATATGGATCTACCTTTGATATTTTATTTAACCTTCCATAGTCCACCACTAATCTTAGGGAACTATCAACCTTCTTAACCAATAAAGGTGAAGAGCACCATGGTAATGTAGAGCTCTATAATATTATTCCCTACATAAGGAATTCTATATGATGTTAATATATTGATGTTGCATCTTCTGTGTTTATCTCATGTTTAACTATGTCGCAATAGCATAAATCATAATTATTTAATGCAAAAACATGTCTACATTTATATAATAAAGCTAGTAACGCCTTCTTATGATTCTTACTAAAGTCTGTCCAATCAAAAAGTTTGCTAAATTCAGCTTCTGATAATTTCATAGTTGCTCCTTTGTTTACACCATTAGGTAGAGTGCTATCTTCTACTGCATCTAAAAGTGTTCCTACTTTAGTACAGTGTTGCCGTTCCTAGTACATTTGTACTTTTCTGGTACATTTTGCCCTTTCCAGTAAATTGAAAGTACATTTAGATTTTTAGTACATTCTCAGTACATTATAATATTTTAAGTACCATTTACGGTACAATTTAATATTTCCCGCCCTAACGAAAAAAATGAGAAAAAATTAGTTTAATAAAGTCTCACTAGTGTCACTGCTTGCTAATTTAAATTATCCAATCACAACATACAAATGGTGTGTGTCTGTCAACGTCAGCAACATAGATAGTTGCACGTGTAAACGGTCTTGACTCTGGTCTTCTTTCACACGTTCAGTTGTCTGCACATTCTCGTCAGGACCTTGACAAAATTTTTAATGCCACGTGGTTCAAACAATTCAACTCTCCGTCAAACAAAAATAACGGACAAATAAGGAAATCAATGATTTTAAACTTTTGTCGTCAATAATACCAAAATATCCGTTAAGTCAGAAACAAATTATTATAGAAAATAGTTTTGAAATTGTACGAGTATAAATAATATAAATACTTTTATATTATTTTCTACCACTATAATTTAATTCTTAAATTATGAACTTCAATTTTAGTAATNAACTTCAAAGTCAAATTCCTGTAGGAAATTGATCCACCTTGATAATCTTGATATTGTGGATGAATCTTTATTACTAATTAACGATCGAAGTAGATGATGATCCGTGATTATAGTGAACTTTCATACAAATAAGGTTTAAAGTGTCTTACACCCCATACAGTGGCTAAACATTTCTTCTCCGTTTCACTATACTTCAATTCTGTCTTTCTCAACAATATGCTAGTGTAAGCTATTGGTTTCTTCTTTCCATTCTCTTTCTGTGATAGTACCGTGCCTAATGCTTCATTAGAAGGTTTCGAGAAGTATGGTCATTTAAGTACAGGTCCAGATGTGATGATTTCCTTTAATTTTTTGAAGCTTTGCTATTGTTCTGGAATGCATTGTTCGAAAGTGGAGTCTTCCTTTAACAGACTGGTTAAGGGCTCAGCTCTCTATGCATATGAATATACATGTTTCCTGTAATAACCTGTTAATCCTAAAAATACTCTAACATATCTTTCGTTTTCTGCTCTAAGGAAATATATTATGCATTTAATTTTTTCTGTATCGGGTTTTATACCTTTGCCTGATACGTTGTGTTCTAAAGATTTTCTTTTTTGTAGAAAGTGACATTTCTTTAATTTTAATTTGAGTTCTGCATTAGCTTATCGTTTAAATTAAAGATATAACCTTTTTAATTGACTAAAAAAGTCTGAACTGAAAGTTAACATGTCGTCCATGTAAACTAATCATGTTTTTCCTTTTAATTTGGGTAAAAAAAGTCCATCGAGCGTTCAAAAATAGCAGGGCTAGATCTGAGACCCATTGGAAGCTTATTTCACTGATAGTGTCTATCAAATGTGGAAAATTTTGTTTTCTCTTTATCGCTTATACCTATAATTACCAGAACCCTGAAAGTGTATCCATGGTAAATAAATATTTCGCTTCGCCCATCAAGCTAAGTGATTCCTGCACTAAAGGAATTGGATATGGATCTACCTTTGATATTTTATTTAACCTTCCATAGTCCACCACTAATCTTAGGGAACTATCAACCTTCTTAACCAATAAAGGTGAAGAGCACCATGGGAATGTAGAGCTCTATAATATTATTCCCTACATAAGGAATTCTATATGATGTTAATATACTGATGTTGCATCTTCTGTGTTTATCTCATGTTTAACTATGTCGCAATAGCATAAATCATAATTATTTAATGCAAAAACATGTCTACATTTATATAATAAAGCTAGTAACGCCTTCTTATGATTCTTACTAAAGTCTGTCCAATCAAAAAGTTTGCTAAATTCAGCTTCTGATAATTTCATAGTTGCTCCTTTGTTTACACCATTAGGTAGAGTGCTATCTTCTACTGCATCTAAAAATGTTCCTACTTTATTAACCTTTTTTATTTTTACTGTTTTAGAAGTAGTTACATAACCTAACAGGAACTTGACTCTTTTTGTTTGGGGAAACTAATACATATGTTCCTCTAATTCCTTCTAATTCTAAGGGGATTGTTCTGCTTACTCATGTCTCTCTTCTTTCTAATTCTATAATTCTTTTTAATATAACAACTATTCTATAAAAAAATTCGTTTTTGTAAGTTCATCATTTATCATTGTTTAAAAAAATTCTTCATTTGAATTGAAAAAAGTGGTTTTTTCGATTGTTTTATTTTGGCACAAATTGGTTCCAAAATGGCAGCTTTCCCTCTGGTTAACCAACTTTACAGGGGCTGCAACCTGCAATGGTGACTTTCCTGTATGACGCGCTGTCGTGCAGGAAAGATGACATTTGTATGTTAGCTTTAAAAATACCTTAAAAACATGTCAAATGCAAATAAATTTTTAAATATAAAAATATATTTTAAATTATTACAATAATAAAAATGAAAAACAGAAATAAAATACAATATAATTCATACATTTTCAGTGATTATATAACAAATATAAAAAATAATAATGCGATATAAAGATATACTTTTACACATAAATAAATAATATAAAAAGGTGAATAAAAATTAGAATCACATAATTAAAAATAAAAATATGTATTTAAATATTATTAAGAGTTAAAATAATAAAAAGGTTTCAAAAAATACTGTAACATAATGATGAAAAAACTTTTCTGATGTGAAAAACAGTAAATTTCGGTTAAAATTAAATTCGCTTCATCCCTTACTTTATGCATGTTGGAGACTGGAAGCAGTTATTTTCTCTATAGTGCAGAGACTAGTCGTGGGTAGCAGGAAAACTTGTGTTCTCTCATAGAGAGCGTCTTCTAAGTCTGCACCAATTTAATTTATTATTTTGAAAGAATGAAATAAATTTTTACGTTAAATTTAAATTTTGCTTTTTATTTAAATGTTTTTGATACTTTTCATTGCAGAGGTATTCATGCTCACTGTAGTTTTTACTCTGTAATGAAACAGTGGAAATAAACGTAAGAGAAATGAAAAAAATGGCGGATACAAAATATACACTAATATTTACCCAATTTAGAATACTAGAAGTTTTTCAAAACAGTTAAATTCGGAAAATTTGTTATTTTCATATTATGCAAGAGTTTGGTAAAGGTACTGTCAGTGCCAGAAATATCATCTTCTATTTAAAAATAAAACTAGTTATTGCATACTTAATTAATATGTTAATGATATACTTTATGATCTCCAAAATAATTATCCTAAAATTTAAGTTAATTTTAATGAAATTATTTCATTTATTACAGAAAGTTTTCTCCGTTGCATCTCTATTTACAGCGCCTTTCTTTATCATTTTTTCGATACTGATGTTATGGCAATATTATGGATGGACTATTTTAATAGGATATTTGGTAGTATTTCTCTTCGTTCCTATACAATTTGCTTTGAGTAAAATATATTCAAAATTGAGGTAATTATTACTCTAAATTTTAATGGGATATTTGGTAGTATTTCTCTTCGTTTCTATACAATTTGCTTTGAGTAAACTATATTCAAAATTGAGGTAACTACTTTTCTAAATTATATAATTATAAAGTAGCTGTAAATAAAAAAAAATCATACTTTATCTAAATCTCATTAGTTAATGAGGGTGAAATTGATGTATTTAAAATAAATAAAATGTTAATTATTAATTAATATCTATGCTATATTACCTTATATTAGAGATGGAAATATAGCTAAGGTTATGCATACTGATCTCGACTATCAGAAGAAATTTATAGGCCTTGAATTTAATGTATATGGAATGACATTGACCATGCTGAAAAATTATTAAATTCCTTGGATGTTTATTTAATTTCTGAACTTCATTTTCATATCCTTTATATATGGATGTAATTCACGATTGAACTAAGAATAGTAGCGTAGCGCAGACTCCCCCTAAAAAAAAGTGCAGCCCGAAGCGGCACTTTTTAAGGGGAGGCAAAATTACGTTTTACGGGGCGGTAAAATTTCACAATAAATAATAATAATATATTGTAAGAATTTGAACCATATTGTTTCATATTTTCGTGCAACTACGATTCGGACCGATTAAAATGAGCACGAAATAGTGTTACTATCCGGACAGTCTGGGAATCGCCTCGCAGTCCGGGGATATCGTGCGCAACCTGTCGAACTTTTTTTTTTGCTTGTACGATTTATTTATATATATACACCTTCAATATCGATCCAATAGAACTAGGTCATTGCGTTACTCTTATCCAAGTCTCCCTAGTCGCTAACTATAACTGATTTAGAACCAGCATGTACTGATTATTATTCTTCGCATTGCAAAATGACATACGCATGCGTTAGGAATTTCTGTTCGAACAAACCTCACCTGCCATCCGGATCAGCAATTTTAAAAAGTGGCAACACTAGCACGAAATTTTTCATTACTTATTCTGTGACATAATTGAATTTTAGTCTTTCAAATTGAAATACTTAAATAAGGGGGGCGAAATTTTCCTCCTTCCCGGGCGGCTGACAGCCATGCTACGCCACTGGCTAAGGACATATTTTTCTAACTTATGTAAGATTAACTCACACTAGTTTAAGAGAGAACCCACGATGCGCATCCTTTCACGTAATGACAAAGACAAAACAAAAAACGAATAAACAGAAAAGATTGTATAGAATTAGTAAGAAATGTATAAAAGATCGTATGAGAGACAACAGTTTGACCATAAGAAGTATATCTGCAACACAAATTTTTGAGATGAGTTTTTTCATTTCGATCTTTTTCAGTAGACTAAAACAAAAATTTTGACTGAACCTTTGTCATGACTTGTTGAGTTTATTGACACTTGGCAAATAATTTCATCATCCACTTTTATTCCATACAGATACGCGTTTTGGGCTTTCCTCCCTCTTCAGTCTGTTGCATAGACAGGTTGTATCTTGTGTATACAGGCACGTTCCGTACTTTCTATTCCCCTTTCCTTCCCTCCTGACTTGACGACTTTTCCCGCATGACTTGTAACTTGTAACGTCTCACTCCCACAGTGCCGGACATAGCCTCGCCTGCGACTGTATAAACATTCTATTTTAATAGATGTAGCAAGTTTTTTTTTAATTTTAATGCTTAGATTCATTGAACCAGTCAAAACAACAAGAAGAAGACAGGGTTTCGACAAATAAAAAAAAAACACAAAACCTGTGAAATACTATCTAAACATTGCGATAATATGTGTTATTAGTAATTATTTATTAAAAAATTATTTTTATTTCTTACAAGCGAATAAGCTTTCAACGTTAGTTGAAGTGGACGAAAAAGACAAGTGGTAAGAGAACGGTGAAGCATAGTCGCATCGTTTTGTTCTTTAAATTGTTAATATTATGATCAATATTCTTACGCGCTCATCTTTGTTACACTTCGAGTATCGCATTACCACTGTATTTGAAAATAGGCACGCAGAATGTTTTATTTAATAATGTTATGCGAAAATTTAGAAAGGCGTGTTTTTCGTAAGCAAGAAATAACATTAAAATCTTTAATTTTATGTTTTATAAATTATAATTACGAGGGACAATAATAGTAATAATAATGTTAATTATTCCGTAAAATAATAAAATAATGCCACAGGTAAAAAAATTAAAATAGATTCAGTAGGTTCGAACCAAAATCGACTTGTTCCAGAACGATGCCTTTTACGTGGCCGGTCCTGAATATTAAACTTCCAAATTCTTTAAGTTAAACAACTAATTTTCAGAGGCCACATTTTTGGAAATGTTTGAAAAGTGCATCCTGTTATTTGGAATAGGGACTGTTTGGTTTAAGGCTACGTGCTCACCAAGTTTCGTTCGAATCGAAGACAAGAATTACTGGCTCTATCCTTGTATGTGACAGTTAACGATACTTGTGCTTTCCAGACGCAAAACTGATATAAGATTGCAAGCACCTACATCAATCAGGAAGGAAAATTGATGACAATAAGCAATATCAAATGGCGAAAAACATTTAAAACTAGCGACACTGTAGCGATCGTTTTAAATTTTTCAGACCTACCCCTGCATGAATATTAGTTTTGACATTTGTACAATATAATTATTTTTTGTGTATGAGATACTCCTGTACAAAAGATATTTCTTTTCTATGTTCCACTCTACCCTTCAAACGAAGAATTACGATTTAAACTGTTCTATTTTCAGCAAGAACTAAATAAATTCAATAAACTAAATAAATTCATAGAAATTATAGAAATATTGATAAAGGTTTTACATATATGAAATTTAATTACGTGAGAAAATCTTTAAAATCCAAATAGTATAAAAAGGGGTTCGAGTAGCATAAACGACTCTTTTGTAATATTTAATACTTGATAAATGGAGTTCTAACTTTTAATATAAGATTATTATTAAATATAATCTATTTGTTCAGATTTTAGTTTTATACAATTTTCCAGAATATATGTTTATAAATTCAATTATATAATAGATTACAAGCAGCTATTTTGGCAGACGAAAGATTGAATTTGTTGAACGAAATGATTGCTGATATGAAATTAATTAAAATGTACACCTGGGAATTGCCATATGCTGCATTAATAGAAAAAACCAGGCTGTAAGTACAATTAAATGCAGTAAAACCTGTGTAAAACGGAATCTAAATAAAATAAATGTTTCAAAAAAATAAAAAAAATGTTTGAAAAGCACGTTTAAAAAAACACATTGTTCGAAATATAAATTTGACAAACTGGATAAAAATATTGAACAATAATCGATTCCGGTTAGCACAGATTTTAATATAATTTCTATATTCTAATGTGTTAATCTATAAATAAATATTTTCAGAGTTCTGTGATTATCATTGTTTAATTGTTTATATTTTAGGAAAGAAATGAAAACAATTCGAATGTTTTTATATGTAAGCGGAATATCACACATATTGTCGTATCCTATATCAAAATTATTTATTCTCCTGTCATTTGTCGCAATTTTATTAAATGGAGGAGAATTAAATGCCAAAATTGTGTTTGTCACAATGCTTTATTCCCTGTACGTTTTTGTCGGCATTATTGGTTTATTTTCTCAAGCAATGGGTTTTGTTGCAGAAATATTGGTTTCATTGAAGAGGATACAGGTAATAAACAGTTTCATATCTATTCTTTTGAAATTAAACTACTGCAATACTAATTTAAAAATTATTCGAGAATGACAATATTTAATTAGTAATGTTATTGTAATTGAAAATATCAAATGTTCACACCTGTCAATAACGAAAGTTGAATAACTTCGCAACATAAGCAGAAAAAGTCTAATAAATATAGAACATTTTGTGGTCAATTATATATTAATCCGAAAATGTTCCAGGCGAATATCACAAAGTTTTAGATACAAATATTTAATTTAACCTGAATAATGCCTGAAATTAAGGTTCCACTTGTAAATGTAATAGTTTTTGTTCGATTTTCACCATATAATATAAAAAACTGTATTTTGAGGATGAGTTCTAATTTCCTCACATTAACGAATGTCACATTGAGATGGCATTTTAATCGATATAAGTTTTCATGTGTAGAAGTCTTTGCTCTAATTAGTTATGGTTGGAATTGAATACTTTTAAAAATTAATAATTTGCAAAATTCGAATAAGTTTCGAAAAAACTAAATTTTCATAAATAATCTAGAAATAAAATTAATTGTATACAATGGGAGTAAGGTTACACAAAAATGTCAGCTTGCGTTGTATGCAAAAGTTTCTAACTAAGCAACACGCAATATTTAAGAAAATTAACGGAAATTATTCGAAAAATTAAGTTAAAATCTTACTCAAAAATTCTACTACACGAGTAGAATTTCTCACCTGAAGACTAACTTACTGTTTACATTTTTGTTTTTGTGGTTTTTTTTTTTTTTTTTTTTAAACTCTGTTTCTGCTTTCAGCAATAAAACAGGTCATTTTATGCTTATAGTTTGGCCAAGCCATTATATCAATGACCTGATAGGAAAGGTTATTATTCATGCTGTGTTTTAGCCTACTTCATCGATAAATATTAAATATTAATTAGGTTCGGTTCCCCAGAATGATATGCAGACATTTTAAGTACACTCTAGCAGTTCCATTAGTAAAAAAATTAGTTTTTTTAATTTTTACATTAGCTTGCTGAATGTTATTTGACCCTATGACGTTATACGGATTATATCCGAAGACTTCTACTATTCAATTTCTGAGCACAAGTTGCACTGACGAATGGCAAACGTCTTTATTTGGAAAAATATTGAAAATTAACTTTCACACTTAATATCATACTTAATCAATAGATAAATTATTTATTGATAAGATATTTGTGAGAATCCGAACAGGAAGTGCCTGTAGTATCATTAGTTGTGGTCGTTGTGTGTGTGCTGTAATCAGTGCTTGTTGCTGGATTATCCTGACAGATTACGTAATTTTCATTAATGTTAGATGTTTCTGTCTGTTGTATTTGATCAGCAACCTGTTTTACGATAAGTTCAAGTGTTGCTTGTGGGACAAGGTTGTTGTGTATAATTGTTTTTTTTTTATCAACACTCCTTTGTTCGGCGACAGTGAAGTGAGGATATTGTTGTGTCAATCTATGGAGTTGTTGTCTATTCCATCCATTGGCATGGTTTTCCAGCTTTTGTCGTCTGTTTATGCATTGTCACAGAAATACCAGGGTAGGTTGGTTCCTCTCATCTGTTGAGGGCATTGCAGTAATAATGCTTGCGCTGGCGCTGCTTTTGCCACCAGTAATCAAATAAGACTGTGGCCCATTTTCGAACGTGAGCCTCTGCCTAACGCGAACCGTGTTAACCTCGGCTGTCTGAGCCGGCATCACACTTACATCTTACCATGATAAATATCTTCAGAATATGTGGGTGTGTCACTCTTAGCTTTATTACACTCCATATACGTTACTGGCATGGGTATTTCTACCAGTTGCTCGTGCTGAAGCCTAAATTGCTCTGTGGATCAATAAAGTTACTGGAATCTCCCAGCAAAACCAGGTGGTAACTACGGGAGAGTTGTCATTATTATTATTGTTATCAATTCATCTCGATTATATTATAAGATTTACTTTGAAAGAAGGTAGGCGATGTCTCTTAGACAATAAGTGTTTCTTCTCGTACAACGGTTAGATAACATATGCAATAAAAAACATAAAACAAATAATATAATAAACTATTAATAATAATGCTATTTTTTACTATTTGTTTAGTCGTATTCGACTATCGGTCAAAGCTTTCCATGCCTTTCTATCTTGCACATTTTCCTTCAATTATAGACAATTCAGTGTTTCTTTCAATTGAGTTAAGCCACCGAATCTTTGGTCGGCCTCGCTTTGTTTTATGCTAATTATTTTCATGATGACCGCCTTCTCAATTTCTTATTATATGATTATAAAAGGACAACTTGTGTTTGATCATCTGGGAAACTATCCTTACAATACATAGTCAATACATAATAGACCAATTTATGGGAGTTATTAATTTGGCAGAAACATCGTTAAAATACTCTTCACTATTAGAGAAATTAGAAAATAGACTAGACATGCTTGCCACTAAAGAAGACATTCTAAAATTAACTACAGTAGAGCCTCGATTATCCGACTCAATTGGGGACTGGGGATGGTCAGATAATTGAAAAGTCGGATAATCGAAAAGTATGAAAAAAATTCATAATTAGTGTAGTATATTATTATATCCCATGCAATTAGTATATTAGTATATCGCTATTAACCTACTTCTCGTTGAATTTTCATCGATGTTAAGCCTAACAAAAATTTTTAAAAAATGATAATCGTTGCTATTGTATCGTTAAAAATTAGAAAATTAAGCCTCGTTTAAATACTGGCTCCCTTTCATGGTCGAATGAGTGTTGCCAGCTAAAACACGTAGAAATAATATTAAAGTAGCAAAGACATAGCCAAATAATGTAGCGCCAAGTCACTAGCGGACATTTGAAATTTGCCGACTAGGATGGTCGGTTAACCGAGGTGTCGGTTAATCGGGGGTCAGATAATCGAGGCTCTACTGTAATTCTGATAATAGTGAACATATTATCAGCACACAGAAGACTGTACTGACAAACTTAATAGATATCGAAACCAATATGACTAGTAATACTACTATTTTCCCTTCATACAGTGATATAGTTAAACCGAATAAATACTCAGGTAGTAAATTGGCTAGACAAAAATGAATTCCTCGAAAGAAGTATTATTGATTTATAATAGGACGAATGCCGGTGGCAACAGTGAAACCGTTTAGAAAATTATACAGACTAAACTTAAATCTTCTGAAATGCATATTGGGATCGAAAGGGTAAGGAAGATTGGAAAGGGAGTACTTGCAGTAGAACTCAAAGATATCAAAGATACTGATATACTAGAAAACACAATTCAGGAACAGTTCCCTGAACTGGTAACTAGAAGACCAAAAAGATGGCCATACATTATTCTATATTCAGTCCATTCTGATATCTCTAAAGAGAATCTTCCTAAATTTATTTATTAACAAAATGATGAAATTAATGAAAGATTTACAGAAAATGAATTTATAGAACAGTTCCATAATAAATTTACAACTGGTAAAAAAAGCAATTCATATAAAAATTGGGTGGTGCAGGTTTCTCTGTGCATTAGACAAATGCTTATACGGATCGGTAAACTGAATATTGAATGGTCACGCAGTAGAATTGAAGATTTTTATCCGATCTTACAATGTTATAGATGTTGTACATATAGATTGTAGATAGGATTGGATTGTACACAGGATGAACATACATGCAGTCACTGTACTGAGAATCATCATTTCAATCAATGCCCTAATCGTAAGAAAGAGCCAATTTGTTGTAATTGCTTTTCAGACAAGTCAGTAAATCATAAACATGATGCGCGTGATGGCTCTTGCCCAATGAATCAAAGAATTAAAAATGTTATTATTTCTAGAACAGACTATGGATCTGCATGATTATACAAGACTACGTATTTTGCAAATAAATTTAGGGCGGAGCATATTTGCTACCTCCTTTATCTGTAAAAATATGGTGGATTTTGATTTTATATTAATACAAGAGCCCTATTGTAGAAAAAAATCATCCTGCTTGTTTTCCAACTTGCTGCCCTATTGTAGTGAATACTAATTATTATCCATGTGCAATTACTCTGGTTCCAAACGTTGATATATCAATAATGCATCATGTCAGACATAGCAACCAGTACATTATTACAGCGGAGATAATGATTAAGAATATGAGAATTATTATGATTAATATATATTTTCCAGGTGATGCTAACACCAATTCCTTCATTGAACAATTACAACAAATCGTTGATGATTTCCAGAATACCTACTTGACACTTGCTGGTGGTGACTGGAACGCTCATTTTCCTGCATGGGTAGGTAACAAATTGGATGGACGGGGTAGTCAAATAGAGGAATTTGTAGCCCGAAATAATTTGATTATTGTGAATAATCCTCTTTCTCTCCCAACTTTCACTTCACATCGAGGTGAAAGTTGGATAGATGTCACTTTGTGCAGTTGCAATTTTTATTCTAACATTCATAATTGAAGAGTAATTGAAGAGGATAGACTGACTGAACACTCAATCATCGCCTTTAATTAAATTGCCTCACTTGAAGTTGCAACTACGATATATACCCCACGCTCCAAGTTCGACATTAACAAAGCCGACTGGATAAAAATGAAAGATTACTTTGATAATCATCTTATTGATTCTTACTCGAATAATGTTTGTGAGGTTAGAGACCAAATTGATTATAACATCGATGTGATAACTGAGGCATGTGTTCTATTTATTCCAAAATCTAGACGTAAGCGGAAACGTGTCCCTTGGTGGACACCAGACATTAATAATCTTAGACAAACTACAAGAAAACTTAGGAAAACTTATCAACGCTGTAGAGATGACGCGATACGAAATACGCATAAAGAGGCATATCTGCGTGCTCAGAAAACATACAAACAGGCGATAAAAACAGCAAAATTAAATAGCTGGCGACAGTTTTGCACTGAAACAACAAAAAACCCTTGGGGATTTATCTCCAAAATGTGTAGCAATAAACTACGTAAAACAACAATTATGACTGCATGTAGTGGTGAAGGAGATGAAACAACTACATTAACTCAAACTTTAGCATTGAAACTTGATGCATTTTGCCCAGATGACGATCCAGAGAATGACACTTGTTGGCAAAAACAGATTAGGGCACAATTTTATACTACTGAGGTTATAGCCGACATGTCTCCCTTTACTGGTATAGAAATTGGACTGACCTTTTTAAATCTTAAGAAAGGTAAAGCCCCATGTCCGGATAATATTACCGCAGAAAATGCTAAAAATCTATGGGCCATTATACCACAACAACTCTGTAAACTGTAGAACAATTGTCTTATGCATGCTATTTTTCCACGAAAATGGAAAATTGCTAAAGTTATACCTATAGCTAAACCAGGGTCTCTAAATGAGGTCACACCGATAATCTTGTTGCCTATACTTGGGAAGGTTTTGGAGCGACTGATAACCAATAGGCTTACTTGTTTTATAGAATATAATAGGTGTCTGAGCGCAAATCAATTTGGTTTTCGACCTCAAAGATCTGCTGAGGAGTCCATTAAGAATATGGTTAATTTTGTCCAACAACATTTACATCAAGACATCAAGTGAAAGAGGTGAGAGAGCTGTCTGTATTTCAGTTACGGACTTTGCCCTTTTGAAATGAAGGAAGGAGTCAGGTTAGGGTTGAAGTATGAAGTGAGGGATAAAGGGAGATAGGAAAGTGTGAAGGGAATGCATGGGGGCACCATGGCGCCTGCATCGCATTTATTGATTAGTTAAACAGTATACATTAGGGTTACAAAGCAATGATTGAAACATAGAATTAGGGTCGCGTGTTTACAATGATCAGTTAGTAGTAACAAAGATATAAATGATGGGTTACAATGATAAAAAAACAGAGAATACTAGTATTTACAATATAATGTGTATAGGCACTTAACTGCCTTATATTTGAGGTGGTGACAGATCGATTGTCTAATACAGGGAAGTCCAGCGGCGACCTGATGGAGGTTAGGATGGGTTGTTGTTGCTGAAGCTGCTGGCGTTGAGGGCAGCCGTATTGTGTACATAGTCCGATAAACTTCTCTAGAGTTTGCTGTTGCTAAAGACTTCAGAGGGCTTTGGAGGCCAGTTTTGTCCTTCCGCTAGGCATTTACCCGTGAAATGAAGCCTTTTATCGTCATATTTAGCGCAATCGTAAAGGAAGTGTTAGACCGTAGACTCACTGACGTTGTCGCAGTCGCATGTATTGTCTGCCTTGCCGAACCGGAAGAGATAACCTGCAAAATTACCGTGTCCTGTGAGGATCTGGGTTGTTTCAGCATTCGGGGTGTAATGGCTGGCTTTTCTGCGATGAGCAATTGAAGGAATATAGGCGTATGTCTTTCTCCCCGTGTCGTCATTATCCCACTCTGATTGCCAGTCCTGCAGGGCAACGTTAGCAAGCTGCGTTTTAACCCACAAGTGTGGTAGCTTCTCGTAAAAGAGGTTTTTACTAAGGGTGCACGCTTTCTTGGCAAGCTTGTCGGCCTGTTCATTTCCGGCGTGTCCCTGATGGGCCCGTACCCATTTAAAGTAGAGTTTTTTTATTTTTTCCCAGATTATTAGCTTCTGTAATCAAGTCCACTGAAAGGCCCGTGTAATCTTTGTTGTTGTTTAAAATATTGAGGGCAGTCCTGCTGTCAGTGTGGATGCATATGTTACCCTTGTATTTGTGGCAGTTGTCATTGATGTGGGTGATGGCTTTGAAAAGTGCCCAGAGCTCGGCCTGAACATTGGTGCAGTGGGCAGCCATTTTAAGGTACGCTTGGTAACGAGTTTTGTGGTTACTATCCATGATAACCACCCCTGCTCCTGCGCATTCCGTACTTATAGAGCCATCCGTGTATATATTCCATTCTACCTTTATGTGATTATCCTCGTCCATTATAACTGTATAATTACTCTCAGTGTGGGGGTGGTTTAGAACGGTTTTATTGGTGTTAATCCCGTCCAGGCCATAGTTTTTGGCGTCATTAGTAATGTTTCTCATGCTCTTGGTGGCCTTCTCGTTGATCTAATTATAGTATCTTGTTTCGTCAAGCCAGGGAAACTGTCCTCTGGTCAGAACCAGGCCGTGGTTTTTGCCTGGATATGGATAGGAGTGATGTCGGCCAGAACCAGGAGAGCACTGGTTGAGGCCGTCCGATAGGATCTGCAGATTTGAATGGCAAATCTTCTTTGGATGGAGAGAAGCTGCTTCCTAATGTGAGTATTATAAACGGCCTCATACCAGACCGGGACGGCGTATAGGAGGGCCGGTTCCATGGCGGCTTTATAGATGAGTTTGGTATTCTTGTAGTTGAGCCCCCAGTAATTGCCCGTGATCCATTTGAGAGCGTTGGCCTTTCGTATCATTTGCTGGCATAGTTGCTTTATGTGGAAGTGCCAGTTAAGCTTCTTGTCCAAGTACACACTCAAGTACTTTAGTTCGCTTACAACTTTAACCTTGTTAGAAGCAATGTAGATGCATGGCGCCCATTGCAATCTACTCCTCTTGTTGCGTCTTGTGCAAACTAAAGCCCTGCACTTCTCGAAATTAATTCGGAGTTTGTTCCTTGCATTCCACTCATAGATGGTGTTTAAGTGGTTGTTGGTGATCTTGGCCAGCCTGTCGCTGTTGTTATGGGCGACCATAAGCAGAAGGTCGTCTGCGAAGGCCTGGATGGAAGCTCTCTCTGTATTACTGAATGAGTTCAAGAGGTCGTCGAAAACAAGATTCCACAGGCCGGGCCCGCACCTTGAGCCCTGAGGGCAACCCCTATTGATGTCTTTCCGGATGGTTATAGTATTCGATTGGAAAGTGAAACTTCTATTTTTAAGATAGCCTTTCGTGAGATCTAAGATGTTTAACGGGTACTTGGCGTTCTTGAGATTGTAAAGAACGCTCAGCCACCACAGATGGTCAAAAGCCTTTCTGTAGTCTATACTCACGAGGAGGGCGTGATTGTTGCAGTCCCAGGCTTTGTGGATGAATGTCTTCACCTTTAGTACCGCCTCTGTAGAGGATCTCCCACGCCTAAAACCGTACTGGTTTGGGCTTTGGATACCGAGGCTTTGGATGTGTCAATTTATCCTGTTTATAAGTAAGCCATCAAGCGCTTTCCCTAATACGGGTAGGAGGCTTATAGGCCTGTAATAATTTGGTTTCGTTGGGATGGTTTCTTTAAGTACTAGTTTAATATTACCCTCCTTCCATTTTGTCGGGAAAAGTCCCTTCTCCAGGCAGACATTAAATAAATGGACCAGGGCAATCGGGATTTCTTTAAAAACCTCCTTGGCCATTTCAGGCGTTATCCCGTCGGGACCTGGGGATTTCCTGTTGTGCAGAGAAAAAATAGCTTTTTTAACTCCCAGAAGGGGAACATTTTGTCTTTATTTTTGTTCGGAAGAACACCGCATTCCATTCGGTAGGTATTGTGGATTGAAGTATCGTCCTCGTTACTGTCGTTCGGGAAGTAGAAGTTTAAGCTGTCTGTTACGTTGTCCGTAATATCTGAGATGATGTCGTTGTTGGTTGAATTTAAATGGAGGATATCTTGGAGATTTACCTTATTTCGTCTTTTATAAAGCAGGTAGTATGGGATATCTTACGGGCCGTTTTTGTTTTTTCTACTGCAGAAGGTTTTCCAGGCCTTGGTTCTTATTCTATTTATTTGTTTCTTGTATGTTTTGATGGCCAGTCTGTAGTTCCTCCTGATTGTGTTTTTCTCTTGGTCGCTTTTCGTTCTGTACAGTTTTTTCATGAGCTTGTTGGTCTTCTTTTTTAGTTCAGTGAGCTCTTCTGTCCACCAGTAAGTTTCTTTTTTCTTACTACTTTTTGTTGTGGTTGCTTGTTTTGTGGCCAATTGGATAGCTTTAGTTATTCCATCGGCGTAATTATCCAGGTCATCCTGTGAATTTATCAGCCTGAATTGGATGGATCTCCACTGTTGCCCAAAGAGCTTCCAGAGAAGCTTCCAGTTAGTCCTTTTGGCAAGGTGCCTGTTCATATTTAAGGAGGTTGTTATGTTTGATAGTTCTGTAGCAATGTAACGGTGGTCGCTGGCCGAGGGGATCAGAAGAGTCTCACAGTTTGTTATCCTTTGGTAGCTATGCAGACGTCTGTCCAACCTTCCTCATGCAGAGTGTGGAATGTTGAATGGGTCGTCATATTGGTGGAAACCAAATCGCGGCTGTCCATCAGGTCGGCAATCAGCCTGCCTCTCTTGTCCTTTGATTATGGTACCAGATTGCCAA